TTTCAAGTAGCTGAAGAATAGCAGATAGACTAAGAATTCTCTATCCCCTAGAAATACACTTTCTTCCCCCTTAAGCCGAGACTTTCTGACGTAAGTAGAGGCAAATTAGTGAAGAACTTAGTCAACCATTGTGGCTCCTGAAATATTTTTGATAATTTCTTTCTGTATCCTCATTTGCTTTGTCCTTGTTTTGTCCTCTGTCTTTGTCCTTTGTCTCTTGTTTTCTGTTTCTCCTGATTCATCAGACTCGAGTTTTAGTATCGGGTTGTATCTTCGCCTCCTCCATCTCTCTCTCTTTTTACTAGCCAGACAACTTTCTTATAGCCTTATAGCCTTATATTACAGGCTATATGTCTATAGCCTGTAATGACGTCTGTGATTGGTGTAAGACTGTACCCAACAGAACACGCAGCCGCCGCCAGGGCTCGCCATGTCTGTGAAACCTGCCAAAAATGCTTCCTAACAGACTAGAAACTTCCTATCTACTTCAGGCCAAAAACATATATCACCCAATTAGCTTCTCCAAGTGATAGCTAAGTCGGAAAAGCTGATGCACGTGCAATCACGATTCTCCCCCCTCCCCCCTCCCCTTCCCCCTCCCCCCTCCCCCCCACGCTACTGACGAAAGTTCTGGTGAATGATTTTGCAATGTGGCAAAATGTTGCTATGAAGCAGGCGATGAGTCACAATAACGTCCTGGGTTCGATCCCAGGCGCCGGCGAGGAACAATGGGCAGAAGTTTCTTTCACCCTATGCCCCTGTTACCTAGCAGTAAAATAGGTACCTGGGTGTTAGTCAGCTGTCACGGGCTGCTTCCTGGGGGTGGAGGCCTGGTCGAGGACCGGGCCGCGGGGACACTAAAGCCCCGAAATCATCTCAAGATAACCTCAAGATACTCTATTTTATATCAAGGATTACAGAGCATTAAAATAACATCTAGCTATGATTTTATCTAATATTCGTATTTTACTCGAAGGTTAGTCCAGTATGGAGTCAGGAGAGAGAATTTGATGAGTCACAATAACGGGGCTGAAGTATGTTGACCAGACCACACACTAGAAGGTGAAGGGACGACGACGACGTTTCGGTCCGTCCTGGACCCATTCTCAAGTCGATTGTGAAGAGTCGATTTCTGACTCAATCGACTTGAGAACCGATTCACCCCGTTCAGTACATCATGTTAATACATACATATACACACATCATGTTAATACATACATATACACACTGGACCATTCTCAAGTCGAGTCCAGGACGGACCGAAACGTCGTCGTCCCTTCAACTTCTAGTGTGTGGTCTGGTCAACATGTTGCTATGATGTTGCAAATTGACTTTGAGAGGCGTTGGAGGGGTCATGATACTACTGATGGTTTACAGTTGACATTCCACGTTCCATCCGGCTCGCTCGTTCAAGCTGGAGTGGGGAGGAACCGATCAATTCTCCAACCCGTTCTCGCACTTTCTTACAGTCAATATTGACTTATTAAATACGTGCATATGTGACATATTAAACATACTAGTTTACCTTGAAAAGCTTCATAGAAAACACCGACCTTACCTAACCTTCTTAGTATGTTAAGATAAGCATCTTATTGCTTCGTAATTACAATTATTACTTAATCTATACCTATAATAGGTTAAGTAATAATTGTAATTTCGAAGCAATAAGATGCTTATCTTAAGATACTAAGAAGGTTAGGTAAGGTATGTGTTTTCTATGAAGCTTTTCAAGGTAAACTAGTATGTTTAGTATGTCACATATGCACGTATTTAATAAGTCAATATTGACTATACGAAAGTGCGAGAACGGGTTGCAATTCTCTGCTAATGTGACTGCGAAATTACGTAAACAATAACATAACATAACAAATAATAATTATTATAAATTCTCTATATATAATTTATCGTAATTTAAATTAATATGAGATCTTACGACGACGATCACGACACGTAAGTCTGTCCTCCCCTCCCATATCTTACGACAATGATTACAATGTTTACATCTCAAAGTCAATCTCAAGTGTGTCAATCTCGCACCTTCTAAACATCTTCGTCAGACAACCTGCCTCGTTGGATCTATTTTGGTCGTATTAAGGCGCTGTTGAACTCAAGTGCCCAGAGGGTTATAAAGATCTGTGTGTTTCCTGGTGAGGTCCCAGTAACAAGCAGTTCCTTCACCTTTCCTGGTGACTTCAAGACGTTCTTTCACCCTTCCTAGTGACTTCAAGACGTCCCTTCACCCTTCCCGGACCTAGCATCTGACCCCAAGCACTCTTCACAGGCACGGTTGAGTGAGTGGCCAGGAATACATTTATCACTATGAGATAAAAAATGCAATTCTATTTAGCGTTGGGTCGACCTGTAACCTCTTTTTATATATGACTTTAAAACGTGCAAATCTGGTTAGATTTATGACCTAAAATCTGTTTAGGGTTGTGACTTAAAATCTGAAAATTTATTTTACGTGATTTAATCTGTGAATTTTTGGGTCTGAGGCAGCCATGAACCACGGTAGTTAGGGAAGGTGGAATTAGGTCGAATTATGTCACGATCATTTACGAGTTGTTGATAGAGTGACCTTCACGTATCCTCTTAAGGATTTTTTTACAGCTTGTTCAGCATTCATGCTTACATATACACACACATACATATACATACATATACATACATATGTGTGAACAGACAGGTCTGCCTCTTGTCTGTCTGTCTGTCTAAATGCCTTGCTACCATCTTCCCCTCAATCTTCCATCATCTTGAACTCTATTACCTTCTTCCTTATTCATTCCCTCCACCCTCTCAAACATCCCCCCCAGGCCCCTCTCTATTCACCCCCTCCCCCTTCCATCCCCACTACACCCCCCCTCCCCCTTCCATCCCCACTACCCCTCCCCCTCCCCTCCACCCCCCTCACATAAATAATACATTTTTCAGCATTAATATAAGCGGCTTCGCTCCTGCACCTGACGAGGACAACAATAGGCTGGTTGTTCATCACACGTGAGCTTGGCAACGCGGGGGGGGGGGGGGGGAAATAAAGCACTTAATTATCGTCAATGGAGGAAAATTGTTTAATAAAAAGTGAAGGTGCAGGGAACTATTTGAGCAAGATAAAAAAAAATTAAAAAAAAAAAAATTGTGGGAAAAAATCTACATAGAGGAAAAAAAACACGTTTTTGGATGATAAATCATAAAAAATAATTATTGCAAGAAATGAATACAAGTTTATTGTATTTATTACATGATAATTTACCTATAAATAAAGCTTTGAAATCATTTTTTTAAGGCGTCATAATAAAATTGTCAAAACTGAACTTCGGAGAATTATTCAATTTCCTTTTTAAACGAATAACGTAAGAAATATAGAGAAGATTCGTGCTAGAACATTACCCTTTGTGTCATTTCCGTAATTGGAAACGTCTGTCTGTCTGTATCTCTGTTTAAGGTTGGAGGTCAGACGCTTAGGGCTAGGTTCTCTAAATTTTTCACAGTAATTGATACTGGGTACGTGCCAAACATGGCCGGATTGAGAGTGGTGTTATAGAAAGCAGCACCAAATGACATTGTGCGAACCCCCCCCCCCCCCCCCCCCCAATCTCACACTACTATATGACTCGAATCTGGTTAAAAAATTAGTTTTTGGAGTAATATAGTTAATTGTATGCTCTGTTTATGCCAAAATTAAAATAGGGGGAGAGGTGAACAGAGGGAGAGGAGAGGGAGAAGGGGAAAGAGGGAGTGAGGGGGAGAAAAGAGAGGGGAGAGAGAGGGAAAGAAAAGGAAGAAGAGGAGTGAGGTAAAAGGGGGGGGGGGGAAAGGAGGGAAATGCAGGAGACAAACAGGGAGAGAGAAACAGACCCGGGCACCGCCGGATAACCCTTTCTAGTGTGTGTGTGTACTCACCTAGTTGTGTTTGCGGGGGTTGAGCTCTGGCTCTTTGGTCCCGCCTCTAGAGTGGCTTTCACGTATCGTCTTAAGTCTCTGTTACAGCTTGTTCAGCTACAGCTCTGTTACAGCTTGTAACCGGAAAAGGTAACCAGGTTACGAGACTAATTTGGGGGTTGACAACAACAAAATCCTGTAATTAACTTACCTTAACGCGCCAACAGTATTCTAGAACCTTCTCGACCAACTTACCTGAAAGCAAGAACAATTCCCAGTTAGAAACAGAAATAAGAAACACTTGGAACCATCATAAAGATTAAATAACAAACATAACACTAATTAGCATTAATGATAATAATTACGTAATTATTTTTCATACAAAATGTTTTCTGTAATGGTTTTTGTAACGACGATCAGTTCTAGTTGTACACTGTAACCATATATCACACGTCCTGCATGCTGATTGGTCAGTCGAGCTTCAGTAGTGTCTGAACAGCACAGTTGCCAAGCATAAAGTCAAGCATAAAGCCAATTATAAAGTCAATTATAAAGCCAATTATAAAGCCAATTATAAAGCCAAGTATAAAGCCAATTATAAAGCCAAGTATAAAGCCAATTATAAAGCCAATCAAAGTCAATTATAAAGCCAATTATAAAGCCAATCATAAAGCCAATCATAAAGCCAATTATAAAGCCAATCGCAAAGCCAACCACAAAGCCAATTATAAAGCCAATCATAAAGCCAATTACAAAGCCAATTATAAAGCCAATCATAAAGCCAATTATAAAGACAATCATAAAGCCAATTATAAAGCCAATTATAAAGACAATCATAAAGCCAATTATAAAGCCAATCATAAAAGACAATTATAAAGCCAAACATAAAGCCAATCATAGAGTCAATCATAAAGCCAATCATAAAGCCAATCATAAAGCCAAACATAAAGCCAAACATAAAACCAATTATAAAGCCAATCATAAAGCCAAACATAAGCCAAACATAGTCAATCACAAAGCCAAATATAGAGCCAATCATAAAGCCAAACTTAAAGCCAAACATAAAGCCAATTATAAAGCCAATCATTAAGCCAAATATAGAGTCAATCATAAAGCCAAACATGAAACCAATCATAAAGCCAATCATAAAGCCAAACATAAAGATAAACATAAAGGCAATTATAAAACCAATCATAAAGCCAATCATAAAACCAATCATAAAACCAATCATAAAGCCAGTCATAAAGCCAATTATAAAGCCAATCATAAAGCCAATCATAAAGCCAAACAAAAAGCCAATCATAAAGACAAACATAAAGCTAATCATAAAGCCAATCATAAAGCCAATCATAAAGCCGACCATAAAGCCAAACATAAAGCCAATCATAAAGCCAAACATAAAGCCAATCATACAGCCAAACATAAAGCCAAACATAGAGGCAATCATAAAGCCAATCAGAAAGCCAATCATACAGCCAAACATAAAGCCAAACATAGAGCCAATCATAAAGCCAAACAAAAAGCCAATCATAAAGTCAAACATAAAGCCAAACATAAAGCCAATCATACAGCCAATC